AGCTCTGATTTTCCCTGGTTGGGCTGTGGCGACACAGCCCCCCGAGGTCCGGGGCTGGGGGCAAGCTCGGGGCTAGTGGGGGGGCTGTCCCCCCGGGACATGCAGGGGAGACCGGCACCCTGACCCCACAGCACCCCCGACCCCACTGGCTGCAGAGCTGGGCTGGTGGCTCCCAGGGGAGGGGAGGATCACCTCTTGCTGCCTTCTCGGCAGAGAAAGGACTCGGTGAAGAAATGGCTTTAAAAAAACTAATGCAGGGATTTCAGATCTCAGCAAGCAGGGGAAAGAAGACAAAAGCATTCGGGTTTGTCCTGTTTGTGTGCTTGGAAGATTAGATGAGCCAAGAGTCACAGCCAGGGATTTTCTAAGCAACTTCCTCGGATAGCCACAGCAGGTATGGTGGAGATAAGAGCAACGCAGTGTCCTCCTCTCTGCCCTCCTTGTCTGCAGCCCCTTCCACAGCCATCTTCCCTCACTAGGCAGGGCAGCCCCCTCGATGCATTGCAGGACACTGCGGGTGCTCTCAGGTGCTGAAGGTTTTGACTTTTCCAGGGGCCCAGATCCAGGGCCTGAATCTTTGGAGGGCTGGAGGCTCTTCACACCAATCCATCTGGCCAGGTCTCCTTTGCAAGCAGAGCAACCCTCTCCAAATTTTGCTTCTGGGGGGGCCGCACCAGTGACAAGCTATCTCAACAAGGCAGGGGTCAACACAACTGGGTTTAACCGGCTGAGAGAAGAGTCAACTGATTTGGCCTTGGAGACATGTAGCTTTTACCCTGTGCTGTACTTTTACACACACGGACTCACTCTGGTTTGGGGTCTACAGTTTTGATGGGCCACTGAAACCTTTGCTGCAGTTGCTCTTGTGAACTCATATGCTGAACTCTGTGCACACTGGAGAGGGGACAAAACCATTATACAGTGCTCAAGCCCAGGCCACAGCAGTCTGCTTGCTTTCATCAGCCCCAAGGTAGTAGCCCCTGGCCTCTGCTCATACCACTCACCTGAGTAATCTCAGTATCGCCAGACCCGAGTTCAAAAAGATGATGTGCACAGGCAAAAAAAAGAAGAATACAAATGAGATTGGTTTAAAAACCACAAGGTTGAAATAAAATATTAGCCATGTTATTTTTATTTGTTTGCCAGGTTTTTCAGCACTTGGAAGTTGTTTTCCAGCTCCTCTCAGCAACTGCAAGTTCTAGCAATTCACTTACAGAAAATTAAAGCTGACATTCTCATGTCTGCAGGAGCTGAGATTTTTTTTGAAGTTGCAAGTCCACGATAAAACTGCTCAGCTGACAAAGTGGGGCCTCTTCATCTGCTTTATTTGCAGGATTTCATCTTCGTTTCTCCAGGCTTTCCTGTCTTTGAGTTCCATAGCCACCAGCAAGGAAGGGCCATTTCAAACTTCTCTTCACTTTCTCTGTCAGGTGTGGGACACTTGGCTTGTTTTGTTGATTTACACAAGAGAGTCATTGTAGGTTAAGAAAGTGATCTGCAAAATATGTCCAGGGGCTCCCTGAAGATGCCCCAGGCTCACCCTGCCGATGGGGGCCTGCTTTCTGGTAACCTGCTGAATGTCCCTCTGGTGACTCCTTAGATGAGGAGTTCCCAGTCTCTGCTCCCTGGGAGTCCCTGCTTGTCTCCCGAATCCACAAAAGAAAGGCAAACCCCTTGTCGGTAGGATTACGACATTGTAGCAGAATAGAAACACATACCAGGAAAAAAAAAAATAATGGGGTCCAAATATTGGAAAAAACTGCGTGCCCCACAGGTAAACAGCCAGGAACACGACTGCAGTGGCAAAGAGCACTGATTTATCTGCAGCCTTTGGAAAGGAAGAACCAAGCTACTGTAGGACAAGAACCTTCTTTTTTTTTTGTCGTTCTCTTTATACCTCCCCTAGCACAAGGGCTTGGGACTAACCCCCTGGATGTCGGGAGTGTGAGGGAGCATCCGCATCCCTGGAGCATCCGCAGCCCCGGAGCATCCGCGGCCCCGGAGCATCCGCGGCCCTTTTCGGCTTCCCCCCCACACCCTCCCCTGCGGTGCGGTCTCGGCAATCCACCTTAAATCGCTGCGGCTGCAAAGGAAAAAAAGGCTGTGTCTGCAGCGACCTTGCCATGATCTAAAGTGTTTTGTTTACAGTCAGGCACCCCCGATGGCTGCAGCAAATCGTGAGAGAGGCAGGGCCCGGCCGC